ATGATTTGCCTCACTCACGGAATCGCGAAAGGCTGCATTTCTCGTCTCCGCTCGGCCCTTTCGGTTGTCTTGCCGCGGTCTGGTGGCCGAGTTCGGAGCCAGTCCGTCTAGACCGGTCGTCGGCACGGACGACGCGGCCTGCCAGCCAATCAGCCTGTCGGCAGACGCCTCCACCCAGTCCTTGTCGGCCTGCCATGCGAGTCCCGCCTCCGGCATGCAGTTGCCAGCCTGAGCAGTCAGCAGGCGTCCGTAGAGTAAGAGGCACTGGAAGAAAAGAATTGCATGTCCGTCGACATGACCACAACGCAAACACATTACAGCGATATGGGAGATGAAGAAGCGACTGGTGAATTTTCCCACAATCCCACCAGTAGAGCTGACGTTTCCACTGAATTTCACACAATCTTGCTTCCCAAAAGCTATTCCCACCCCGGCTGGAGTGGACTACAATTTCGACCTCGCCCCAGCAGGACTCGAACCAGGCCAGTGCAGCGTGTGTTCTCGACACGTTGACGTCTCCGCCACATTGCCACGAGTGCCATTTGGTCACAGGACAGAAGTTAATTTCAAGAAAGACCAGACACTTTACCATATCATATTAGTTGGTGGGATTGTCGATAAAGGAAGGTGATATTTGCTATGGCAACCAACGACATTACTTAATTGTCGCTTATCAGCAGGATCTTGTTAAGATCTAGACGAGGTCGAAACTGCAGTCCATCTCTGCCCGGACGAGAAGAGCAAGATTGTGTGAAATCCAAATGGAAGGCCAACTCTATTCGTATCATTGAGGGGAAATGCAACAACATGTGCTTCATCAACTTAAAAAAACTAAAGTTATTCCAACTTATATAACTGATTTAATGTGAGTCTTGAAATTCTGTTTATAAACGAAAAACATCACAGAAATACCAAAAAGAACAGGGCTTTTATGGACCTCCTCAGATAATATTGCTGAGAACATTTTCATTTCGTAGTAAAGTATGCGTGTTGAAGTGATTCGTAGGTCACTCTCACCAGAGCCCGACGACTAATTCCGCGTCTTCATCTGGTGCCAGTTGAAGACTGACAAAAATGAGTTCCTGCTCCGATATCATTTGCCATTTGATAGACGAAAGCTCAACCCATCTTTGCCCGAAACGCAAGATTATGACTCGTGGACTGCTAAAACTTGAACGTAGTATTAAAGTCAAGTAAGTGGCTGCGGTACAACGCGATTCAGTCGTCCTCTTCTGGTCACATTGACTTTTGAAGCTCTCCATAACGCACACTTTCAAAGGAAATGAAAGTCTCCCCAACAACATAATAGAGGGACACACCATGTTAGATGTATAGTAAAAACACACCTGTATATACGAGCATACATGCATAAATAGATAAACATTCACATATATACATACATACATACATACATATCTCTATCCATCCATTTATTCATCCATACATACATACATACATACAAACATACATGCATAAATGCATGAACATTCACATACATACATACATACATAGGTCTATCCATCCATACATTCATTCATACATACATACATGCAGAAATGCATGAACATTCACACATATACATACATACATACATATCTCTATCCATCCATTCATTCATCCATCCATCCATCCATACGTGCATACATGCATAAATGCATAAATGCATGAATATTCACATACATACACACATACATACATAGGTCTATCCTTCCATACATTCATTCATACATACATACATGCAGAAATGCATGGACATTCACATATATACATACATGCATACATACATATGTCTATCCATTCATTCACCCATACATACATACATGCATTCATGCATAAATGCATGAATATTCACATTCATACATTCATACATTCATACATACATACATATGTCTATCCATCCATTCATTCATACATAAAAACATACATGCATACATGCATAAATGCATACATACATGAGCATATAGAGACAGACAGGCAAAAGCAATTGCCAGCATAGAGCCTCTACATGTTTATGTGTATGTGCACGTGTGTGTTTGTGTATGCGTGTATAGGCAATGACCTGAACTTTGAGCGAGGGCGACTTGCTTCCCGCCAGCCGGTAGGCGTCGGCCAGGTCGGCAAAGGCTCTGTCAAAAGCGACTCTCATGAGCTGGAGCCAGGCCGAGAGGCGGCTCGTCCCATCGGCGTCGTCGGACACGTCAACGCGCCAGTTGCTAGCCACTCCCTCCATGGCGAAGAAGGGTCCAGCATGTCCGAAGGTGAGGTAGCGCTCGCGAGTCTGAAAGAGAGTTAAAGAAGACAGTGCCAGCAGAAACGGAAAAGTGTGTCTGTTCAGACGTCGAGGGCGACGGCGACGGCGACGGCAACGGTCGGGGCAACGACAATGCCAACTCTGCTGCAGAGGCGTACCGCAAACGTGTCAGTCACACGTCGCTGTCCTCCCCACATCACACATCACACATCACACATGACACACCTCAAAGTGCAAACCATTCTACGTCTACGGCTGCCCACGCATCGGCTGCATCGGCTTGCCCAGTTGGTCAATCGAGTCGTGAGCTACCAAAAGTAGCCCATGAAAAGGTATGAATAAAATCTGGCCTTCGAAGAGTTGCTCGGTGAGCTTGTGTCAAGTGAACTTGCATTTCGAAAGGAAAGTTGGTTGGAAGCAATTTGTGAAAAGGTCTCACTGCAAGACTTTACTGCACATTCGCTTCAACCAACTTTTCCTTCGAAATGGAAAGTCCTGTCATAACGAAGAGGAGGAGAACAGTGAGCAAAGTTCGACGACAACCTCGGACCCCGTTGATACAGCCAATGCGACCAATAGCGCTAGAGCCTAATTTTTATATCATTCCTTATTTGCCACTTGAAGGTTGTATTTCTTGGATTACCAACTCAAGCTCCCTCGGACGTTTGAGGTGTTTTAATGACTGTTAGATGAGTTTGCCCGCATGATCAGATGAACAGGCCCCACCATGTCATTGAACATCCCTTCGTCTTGTCTTCCAACAGGCTACCTCGTCCGGTCGGCCGTTTCGACGCATCAGCACCCTCAGCCGGACTCGAGCCTGGGTCCTGAACGTCGAGACGAGACAAGTTGCCACTGCAGTTGCGCCATTCACGACAGGTCAAACACATCTCGCAGCCCAGAATGGGAGTTGAATCGCCCACTCACATTGGACAACCAGTTCTGGTCAGCCAAAATGGCTTCCGGTGAAGTGAGGACGAGCAATTGATGCCTACTCACAAGCAGATGAGTAGGCCACATGATGCCTTTGAGATGGCCTATTCGTAGTCATGCAATGCTGACAATCTCGGAAACTACTCACCACAAAGTTACGCCGATTCGATACATGAGTTGTGTGCATTCCA